AGTATTGCCACTGTCCAGTTTCTTTGTGTCTGTAAACCTGATTCTTTGTTCTCTAGTTTGCCTGTCAGAATCCGCTTTCTGGTCGTCCACAGTAACATCCTGTCAGTAGTCAGTGAGGTGATTGGCTGGATTTACTTTCTGGCCTGGTCAGTGTCCTTCTATCCACAAGCCTGGGAAAACTGTAAGAGGAAAAGGTAGTGGTTCGATCTGTCCTCTCCCCTTTGTTTCATTCCTCTGTTTTCCATATGGATTCACTCAAATATACTCTTGCTCAAACTAGCAGAAAATGTAGAGGTTCTGAATAATTTTAAGCCTAAAAAAAGGCCAGCTAATCATGCTTTATGTTCTATCTACAGCATCTTTTTTGTAGTTGTCAATGTGGAGTTATTGTCATAGTGAAAAGTAGTTTGAATGTTTACATTTTGAAAGTTTTGCAATAATGATTACATTTGAGTCCCAAAATAAGCCACAGGGGCTAAGCAAAACAAACTATGAAGGCTAAAAGTTCTGATCTGTGTGTTTTCCACAGGTCTGACATATACTTGTTGAATCTGTGCAGAAGAATGTAGTGTTATTTTGTCAGTGGCTTGTGAACCAAGGCAAAGTAGAGACAGAAGAGTTGTATCCCAAAAATGTAAAGCTTCGTAACTTTTTCATATTTGCTGAAACTTTCACTGTATTCTGACAGTTGTGCATAGGAAAGATAAGACAGAGTAGTGCTCCTTATGGCATTTGCAAGAATCCCCTGGACCTGAATGAAAACAACCAATCAGAGCCGAGAAAGATAAAGATAGACGGTTTTGGTTAGTGTCTTGAGGATAGATGATTGTTGAGTCTCATTCCTAAATTGGAAATTGATGACCTGCGACTATCAATCATATTTTCTTTGCGGTGACTTTGGCTCAGGAAGTCATCCACTTATCAGAAGGTTGGCGGCTCGATCCTCGGCTCCTCCCGCAGCATATGAATATGTATGAATACCCTTAGTTTCTGTTTCTGATGAGCATCTGTTACCTTACATGGCAACCTCTGCCATCAGTGTATGAATGTGCATGAATGGGTAAATGTGGCATTTTAACTCTGGTTGTTTTCTTTCAGGCATGGTGAATTATCGCAAATGCAATTAGCAACTCTAGAAGGAGCCAGAGGACAGATTATCTGTCTTATGTACTGCTGTCAGGATATAGAGAAAGTTTCAGCGAATATAACAAAACGTTATTTTTACAAAAGTTAACTACTCCCGCTTTAACCATTACAAATGTGAGCACCTTTACCCTGACAGTGTTAACATACGGATTAATGTGTTTAAGTGTTTTGGGGGCAATGTTTGTCTTTGTTGGATAGGCAGTGATAGTTGACACTAATTGAGGGGAGTGTAAATTTCCAAATAATTTAACGTGATGTTTCCTGGAGAGAACTCTGTAGTGAACTCTGTGACTCTGGCACTAATTATATACTAATAGAGACAGAATTCTTTTGGCACCCTTGAAAAAAAATCTGTCTTTTAAATGCCAATGTTAGCAAATAAACAGCAGGTCAGGGGAACATAAAAATTTTACATATGCAGCCACACATACAATTTAAAATATATGAAGTTTCTAATCAAAAATAAATGAATAATGAATAATTATTTACTTGGGTTTAAATAGAGCTTTTGATAATAGACATTGAGCATGCCTTTTGCAAAACGTGTCTGTCATAGATACCAAAAGTTTAGCCCTGCAGTGGGTATCAAGACAGGTGACACTTAAGCACCTTTAAGTTAAGATAAGGTATTATTATACTTTATTGATCCCACACTGGGGACATTTACTCCTTTCAGCAGCTCCAGATACAACACAGTAGATAGAAAATACACAATAATAAAAAATTAAAAAATAGAGTAAAAGTTATATGTAAACTATACACAGCTTTTTATATACAGATGTGATTGATATGGAACATTGATATACAGATGTGACTAGAATGGAACATTTCAGCTGCTTCAGCGGCCTAACCCCACCGTATATCTGCATTGTATCTGCTCAGGCTGGTACCACATTACATACTTATTTCCTGAAAATGTAATTATTACAAATGTGGGCATGTTAATCATGATACTCTGAATATAATTTTGGGGCATTTTTTGTCTTTGTTAGACAGTTGACAGTCACTGTTTTTTTAAGTGTTGGAAAATACACATGGTTCATATCTTCTTTTTTTTGCCTTTTGATTACAGTATGATCGATTGTAATTAGAAAATCAATCAATTTAGAAATTGCTTCTAAATATATTTTGGTGGCATTTCTTCAATCTTTTGCTTTACTTCTGGTCTAATGGGACTTTAGAACCATCTCTTTCTGAGCCCCTCTCTCTCTTTCTCATATGTTTAAATAGGTTTGATCTGCAAATGCAGAAAAAAAAATTCACAGGCAAATAATACTTTGTATTCAGTGTTGTAGGTCTCAACTTTGACTTCCTGGCTCTCAACCTAACTGGCTTCATCGCTTACAGTGTCTTCAATATAGGGCTTTTCTGGGTGCCTTATATAAAGGTAAGTTCATCCTTTTTAAAAGGGCATTTTACTGTTTATATACATGTAGATGGTAAATGGTAAATGTACTTGTATAGCGCCTTTCTAGTCTTCCGACCACTCAAAGCGCTTTTCACAAAATTCATGTCTGACCAGCT